CAATCTATTGTCAGAGAGATATGAAATACTGAAGCCACAAGCTTTCGGGCTTTGGCCAGCGCAGAATCAAATGCTGGCTGACAGAACATAAATAGATATGTGAACAGCACTGTATATGTCTAATTTTTCTTAATAGCACCCTCTAAAAGCATAGAGCTCATCTCTGTAAGTACTTTGCGTGACAGGATAGAAGCCATAACGTTCGCAAAGTAACAGATCAGACTATATTGACTGTGTATCAATCTGTATCTTTGGCTATCGGTTACCCCACTATCTTCTTAAGATGATCCCATAACCACCATATCATAGTGCTCACCAATTAGTTCGACGGTGTCCTCAATCTAGATTTTGTTTCTTCCTGAGGTAAAGAAGTGATCATGTAATCTATGATCTATCAAGTCAATTCCCCAATTAGAAAAAAATTCATGGCACGTGGAAGCCCTATAAATTTGCTTTTCAACCATAAAACAACAAAGAAATCGTATAATCACTATCGGGAGCTAAGAACAAAACTAAACTTTACAGCTGAACATCAGAGAAAAACAAAGAACATGCTTTCTGTAAGCCACATTTCTCACGCGCAATATATTTTGCATGTAACATTAAGTACTAACATACAAATTTGCATGGACAGATTCTTGCACAATCCACTCATAGCAGATCTGCAATGGGCTGCCATTACAGGACTTAACCCAAGACATTGGCGTCTATTGAGCCAAGTGAACCCCTCAGTTTACGCACAACGACACACCACAGGCAACAAACAAAGTAATTACAGCACTACAAGTACTTAAAACCAGCTCTGAAACTCAAACCTCTGCTAACAACTACAAAGGACTTGGATCACACTATTACGCAGAGCCAAAAGCTTCAGCATTCACTACACGAAACGCACTCCGAGAAAACTCAACATAGTCTCGGCCGAATGCTTCAACAACTTACTTTGGGTTCTCTTATTCCCATATTCAAATCACACCAAAGCATGCATCCTTACAAGTCAAAGTATATTTTCCAAATCCCAATGCTCAGTAAACGAACATCTTTGCTTTCTTGCTTCAGAGTATCTCCACCCCATTTTCACTATGCCACATTGTTTTCGCCCTACTTCTCAAAACAGAGTACCAAAAACCACATTCAACCCCACATTCCCCATCCACACACCACTGAAGAACCCTAACAAAACCGAAACGAAAAGACAGCGAACCCCATTTCTCCGGGGGGGGGTGGTGTGTGTCGCGTCGTTTGAGCCCATACCTGGAGGCCTTCCTTCTTGATGTAGGCCCAAATCTGCTTGACGGCCTGGACGCGGGAGGCCTCGCCGGCGTTGAGGAACCGGGCGAGCGCCGGCGAGACGGGGGTCACCTTCTGTATCCCCGACGGCCGGCTCGGCGCCTTCGGCGAGGCCTCCCCGCCGCCGCCGCTCGCCGCCTTCTTCGGCTTCGGCTTCGCCGCGGCCTTCGAGGCCTTCGCGGCGGGAACAGCATCGGAAGCCGCCGCACCGGCGGCGGGCTTGGCGGGGGCCAGGAGGGCCCTGCAGCCCCTGAAAACCCTAGAAGCGGTGGACGTCGAGAACGACATGGCTAAGAGCTCAGTGGGTTTTTTCTACTCGGCTTCTTTGTGGGGTTTGGAATGCGAGGGAGATGGGTCGCCTTCGTAGCCGTAGCGTCTGCAAGGACTGTAGAGAGAGAGAGAGAGAGAGAGAGAGGAGCGAAGGAGACGGAGGAGGAGGAGGAGGAGGGAGTTTTGGTGGTCTTTTGGACACGCAGCGACGGAGGCGATCGCACGTGATTCCCACGCTTGGGGGAATGCACAGCTGAGCTGACTTTTCAAAAAAGAAATTTCCTAAGGAAAATAGCCTTTGCGGGTCCCTGAATTTTAATCTAACGTATAATAAAGTCCTTAGATTTTTAATTTGCTCAACATGTGATCTTCGAACTTTTCGCAAGTGTTCGATCTATTAGAGTCCCTAAACTTTTGATTTTTTCTATTCAGTCCCTCGACCGTTCCCGGTTGTTCAATGACATCCTTCGATACCATTCGCAGGTTTTAATAATTGCACTGCTGCTCAGATCTTAAATTGTATTTTTCATTTCGATCGGTTGTCTACATCAACGAAAAGAGATGAGATTTTTTTTTTTATCACCTTTGTGGTCTTTATAAATGTTATGATAGTTACATTAGAGTATATTGTAGCTTATAATCTCTATAATGGTAAAAGTAATAATCTTATTTAGAGCAGTGCCAGGTTGATATTTCTTGTTATTTCAATTTCCAAATTTATGTTATTAACTAAATTTAATTATGAAAACACCAAACAGAAGAACTTGAAAAATGTTATCTATTAAAATTTAGAAACAAGATTTCAATCAATATAAATACGATTTACTATAGATAAATTAATATCATGTATAAATATCCTTATGCAAACACTTGTTCTTAACAATGATATTACTTTTTAAGGATACATCAGGTTGATATTCTTGTTATTATGAAACCTCATTTTTAAAACTTCACTTTTAGAGATTTATCGCATTAATATTTCTGCTTTTAAGAATAAGTGTTTTCACAAGGATATCTGAGGATGATATTAATTTAAATATAAATAATCGTATTTATATTATATTCTTAATTAAATTTAGATAAATATCTAAATTAGTAAATAAAAATAGTAGGAATATCAACCCCATACCACTCCCAATGAGTTTCTACTTTTATTATTACAGATATTATAAGCCACAATATACTCAAATGAAACTACCGTAACATCTATAAAGACCGTAAAGGTGAAAAAGGGTAATAAATATATTGCATACTGTTTTGTTAGTTGAGATGATGGATTGAAATTAAAAATATATATATTTTTTAAAATCTTAGCGATAGTATAATTATTAAAATTTGTGAATACCGATTGATGGCATTGAACATTTATGAGTAGCTGAAAGACTAGATCGAACAGATTGAAAACTAAGGGACTAGATAGAATTTTACGAATAGTTCAAGGATCACATTGACCAAATTAAAAGTTCAAGATGATGACATCATATTTTTAGCCGAAGTTTAAACACCGTAAGTGGCATTTTCCTTTTTTTTTTTTTATATATATATTAATGGGATCCAAGGCTCTTCTAACACCTGATTAAACATTCATTGGGTGCGACATTGTCCCATCTCACACATGCTGGTAGGTCTGTACTCCTAGGATGGCCTCAGGAAAATGCTCAAACATGGTAATCCAAACCAAAGTCTTGAGCGACGTATAGTGTCTATTGGCTTTTGACTTCTAGTCGCATTGCCATATCGTATCTCACACACAAAACCAATCCTTTCAATACATAACCTATGGGTTGGCTTGTAAATAAAGGGGTGTATTACAATGCCACACTTCAATATATCCATCACCATATATGTTCTCTAAATTACACGATTTGTATCATCAATAGCAATAGCATGCATTTCAACGCAATTTCATGGTAGTCGGAATCGTAACGATTTAAAATTTCAAGCGGTCATTATGACGGCCTAATAACATCCATCGTTTCTAGTATAATTTTGGTAGCAAAACAACATATTTTATGACTCGAGATTTCATTTCGTCATAACGACGTCCTAAAATCATGGGCCTTTTCAACTATTCAAACAGACAACATAACGACGTACTTCTGAATACATGATTCTAAATGGGCACTGCAACATCCCTACGTGTTTTTGGAATTTGAAGTTTAAAGCGAGAGCGTTTGGAACTAACCGTAGAGCGCTAGAACCTCTGTACCTACTAAGGTAAAGCAGAACATTGGAAGAGAAAAACTTAGAATGTGATCAAACTGAGAATTTCAAAAGAAAATAAGAGCAAAACAAAGACTCGCCCTCGCTGAAATGAAGAAAATAGGAGGAATCTTTAAAGGACAAAGCGACCGCCTCTCGTTGAAGCGCGCAGGTCTCGGGTCGAAGTGTGCCACTTCTTAGGCCTGTAACTTCTCAGTTTGATACGAGATTCGCGTGATTTTTACGGCATTAGAAACAGTTGTGTCGAGAGCTCTTCCGGTGAATCCGATATTACCGGGCGAAATCACGAAATGACGGACCAATATTTCGACCTATATCAGAGCCCGGGAGTCGGGTTTATGAACCGCATGTTTCGGCTCTCGACACTTTCAAAAACCGTCATTTCCTGAGGATCGAGTGGTCTAGGATGTTCGGGGGGTTCGGGTTTACCCGTCGATGGCCGAAAGTTGGTCTTTTGAATGTTTCGATTGTGACTCGGGATGCTTGAGAGTCGGATTCTTACCGCGTGATTTACACTCTCACTTTTATGCTTTCGTGTTTCTAATTAATTCAAATTAATTTCCACGGTCAAAATATCGTATGTGCTATATAATTCGATAAATATTACAATTTTATGTCTCGTGATTTTTTTTTGAATAATAAACCTATATGATGTGGTTCGCATACACTTTGCAAAAAAAAAAATTCACGTAAATTCTAGCCAAGAATTTTATTGATGTGAACATTAAGTTGTTACAATTTTCTCTATATTTTTTTCTTACAAAAATTCACATCGACACCGAAATTTAGAGTGCGGTTTTCAAAGGAGAAAAATGGTTTCTTCTATTTTTTTTTATTACTTATCATACTTGCGAAACATAACATTTAAATAGGGCCTACGGCAACTAGAAAATAGAAAGAAATAAGAACATATTTCACACTTCTTAATTCTAAGTGATTTACTTCATAATCCTAAGGATTCGGAAATAAACGGAAATAAAATAAATGGAAACAAAATAATTTCCTATCTCGAGATTTTCTTCGAGATCTCCGCGTGAAATACCCTCGTGATTGGTTTCATGGCAGCACAAGTCCGACTCTTCATGCCGCGAGGTGCACACAATTTGGACCATTTACCTAGGCTTTTTAGCTCAACGTATTATCCCGGCCACGAGATTAGTGAGGTATTTCATCGACCCGAGATTTACCCGCCTAAGATGGTGGGTTTCCTTGTCTTAACAAAGCATAAATAAATAAATAAATAAAAATAAGCAAATCATCCACACTAATGTCCTGTGTGGCTGTGAATGGGCTTTTCCTTTCACCAAATCAAAATTCTAGTTTCCCTTCCATTAGTTGCCATTTGACAACAATAGATCTGAGGGACTAAGAAAATCCTAATGCATGCTTGCAAACATGAAAAGGCAATGTCTCAGTGGTGCAACTTCCCAAGAAAGCAGCCAATGGTATGGCTTTAACAGACTAGGCGCAATGGAACGGAAACAATCTACCTGTCATGTAAATGACTAGTGTTTCAGCGTCTCTTCTTTGCCTCGCAGGAATGCAGGAAGCCACTTCGCGGACAGCTTAGGTACGCGCTTGAGATTGTTGTCGTGGTCGACATAGTAGAGCCCGAATCTAGCCGTGTAGCCATCTCCAAACTCGAAGCTGTCGAGCAGAGACCAGTAAAAGTATCCCCTCACGTCGATTCCTTGCCTGCACGGAACAAATACTCGAGCCATTTTAGCACGGTCGAGTCAGGCTTGTGCCTCCGCGCGTTTAGATAGCACGAGCAGATCGAATAAAGCACGATTTTAGGCACTCCTGGAGCACAATTAAAGTGGCTAAGACTAACATTCTACAGACATTATATTGTGAAGATTCATTTTTAAATTTTGTTTTGCTGTTGCCTTTTGGTGCAAGAAATTCCTTTTTCTTTGTCAAACTAGCGGAAAAGCACAAAAGAGTCGAGTCTAATCAATATAGCAGGATGCCATTATGAAATCAAATCGATTGCCTTTTCTGTTGCAATAACGTACTTCATTGCTTGGTTGATTTGATAAAGATGCTGAAGGACGAACTCTATGCGGTGCTGATCATTTAGCGCTTCCTGTGTCGGCCTGCCCTCGACCCTCGCCTGGGTGACTCCTGGAGTTCGAGATACATTTTAGAACTAAAGCATTCTCTAGAAGCAAGAAGGAAACAAGGCAAGGCATCAAACCGTTCTCGGTGATGTAGATTTTGTGACTCCCGTATCTTTGCTTCACGTACTTCAAAACTCTCTGTAGCCCAATCGGGTATATATAAATGAAACTGCTTCCTTCAGCCTGCAATTACAGTAAACGTATGCGCAAAGTGTTGTTTTGTGGCCTCTGAGAAAAGTAAAAATCTCAACTAGAGTTAAACTTTCCCAGAAAAAAGCATTTATTATCTTCTATCTTGATACTTCTTCCCTCTGGCTCACCTTTGGGCCTATAGGAACTCCATCTCTGTCAACTGCAGACAGCCAAAACTGAAGTGAGTATAGAGAAGAAACAAGAGCATCATCGATAAATCTAGACTCCTTTCATTGATCTATCAAGTTTACCTCGAAGGTCTGCATGCATGTCTAGACTGTAACTTTTTGGCGGTGCGTGTGGATATACGTTTAGGCTCTTTGCATATCTGGTCGTGTAGTAATTCAAGCCTAAGAAGTCAAATGACCCCTTAACCAAGTTCTTTTCTTCTCCAGTGAAATTCGGTAGTCTTTCCTTCAATACGCGTCGCATTGTGTGTGGATAGGATCCATACACCATTGGATCCATAAACCTGTCATGTGACCAGGAAACAGAATCTGCGGGAATGATTACACTGTCCCATGTTCATCGACCAATCAAAGTATCTTTATATCTATGTTGTGGTTAAATTTTCCGCCTAATAGAAGTTGACAGTACAAACCATCCCAAGTAGAAGTCTTGAGCTCTTTGGGCTGCTTGTTTATCTTCTGAAGATTCTGAATAAGGTTCAAAGTATTGACCTACGAGGCATATGCCAATTTCTCCTCCTTGTTCAGCCTAGAAACAAATCACAATCAAACAGACGAACATCAAAAACAACACAGAAGAAAAAGAGTTGATAGGCCAAATGTGACGACGATATCTAGAACGTGAATGACTCATTTTTACTCACTTGAAAATTTTCCCTGTAAAGCTTTACAGCGGCGGCGTGAGCAAGTATCAGGTTATGGCTCACAATGTAAGGCTCAGTGGACGAATTGCCTCTAGGACATGCACCAGGAGGGTCTGAGCACCTCCCTGGCGGCCCGAGCCCTGTGTCATAACCAAACAATGCCACCATCAAAGGCTCGTTTATCGTGGTCCATTTCTTGACCCTATCTCCGTACATTTCGAAACAAATTTCAGCAAAGTCCCTGAAATCATCCCTGGAATATAAAATGAAGAAGTATCAATGACTATATATGATATAAAAATGCGACTGTTTGTTGGAAAGGGTTTGTAAAGCTGCTCACACAAATTTCCGGTTCAGGGGACCTCTGTATTTGTCTTCAAGCATTTGCGGGGGGTCAAAGTGGAGCAACGTCACAAAAGGCGTTATGCCTGTATTAGAATACAAGCGAATGTGAGCTCTTAAACTAAGGTGAATTCCGGTCTAAGCTGTCCTAGGGCATTGGGCATAAAGGGTAAGTTATGAATGTTATCCAAATGAGAATGATCATTCAAGTAATTGCAAAAGGTCAAGAGAAACGGAAGGCGAGAAAGTACTCACCATTATCGATCAATTCATCAATGAGATTGTTGTAGTGAGCGATGCCTTTCTGGTTCACTCCGTCACGCAAGGATCCACCTGCATATTCCTAACATCAGATAAAGCTACGTGTTTTAAGGAAAATGTCTCTCTTCTAGAGTCTTGTTAGGAAAAAGTGAACGTTAATCTTCCTGCAGAAAAGTTTTCGCAATGTAAGTATCAAGAACATCTCTAGAATTTAAATGACTCTTACTTGGGACAATCCTGGTCCAGGAAATGGAAAATCGGTACGCATCCACTCCAAGTTCTTTTAGCAACTTGACCTCTTTCTGTATAGTAGCAATGTACATATATAAACCGCGACAGCATGACCGGATTGGATAATGTTAGGAATTCTCACATCTAACTACAGAAGCAGAAGGAAAAAAAAATTACTCCAAAGGAACGTGTCATGGGGGTCTCCGTCTTACTTTATAACGTCTGTATGAATCAACCGCTGTTTCCAAGGTACTTCTGTTTGCGATTGTTCCTGAACAGAGAAAGAAACATCAGTTATGGACAATTAGACCAGTATTGATGCATTGTCGCCTCCTAGCGAGCAATTTCATCACGAACAATCAACTACGCCGAAGAGCATAATATTGATAGAGGAGGCATAGAGTCAAATTGGTGAAATGAACCTGGGTATTTCTTAGCATAGACGTCCCAGACACTCAATCCTTTCCCGTATTCTCTGGCCGACCCTTCTGTCTGCACCAGTCACATCAACACACAGATGACGCTTAATACAGCGGCTTAATCCGACTCAAGAGAATGGTAATAGGTCGTACCAGGAGCCGCCGGGTATTGATGATACTACTCTGTCAACGAGGTCTAAATATAACAAGGTCAAGAAATCCTAGAATCTCAAAATGTACTTGAAATGTTAAGTACCTGCAGGGCAGAACTGCCAGCTCCGAATAGGAAGTCACTGGGGAAGTCGGATCTCCTGACGTTTAAGTCGCCACGTGATGATGCACTGGAAACTTTCGCCTCCACGATAGATGCAGACGGACCCTCGCTCACTCTAGCCATTGCTGCCAACAAAATATGCCCAGTCATTAGATTCTTTGCAAACCACAAAAGACATGTATCACATGTTCGAGTTCCATCTAAACCGAGCTGGTTAACGTGTACTGCGTTAAATTAACGACGAGAAAGATGCTTAGTCATATGAAGGTGAAAATTTTATTGGCGATCATCTCTAATGACATCATTATTCAGCCAAAAATATATTTCGGATGACATTTTCTTGCCAACAGCTTTCTTTTAGCTGCAAAGGTTTTACAGAAGAGAAGGAAATGAAACAAGAAACATGAACGGGCATGACCAAGACCAAAAAGCAAAACAGCGTATAGAATCGGCATGAGATTCCGAGTAGCAATAGCCCGCGATCCCATTTCGGCGATGATTTCAAGTTAAACTTCTTCTGAATCTTCCCTTTTCCTACCCACTTTTTCTGATGCAATCTCCACTGGTTAAACTGACTGAAGGGGGACCAATCCATATGAGTAATAACTGGGCTTGGTGGGAAACTGTAGATTAAAACCTAGACGTTTTTTCCTCTAAGTAAATGAAAGTAACATCTCAAGTAATGGCAAACGTTGCCTGCTATTGACATTACATCTCTGCTTTCTAGGAACAACTAGGTCTAGGGCAGCTCTTAATTTCCTCAGCAAGTGAGAGATTTCTAACTTTAGTCCATTTCTTACATGGGGAACGCCTGCATTTAGTTAAAATTTCAGGAGATGGAAGGACATCACCATTATCATTTGATGAAACCTCACGCGTTTTGTTGTGACCGAGAATCCCCGAAGCCGAACCTATTCTAGGAGTCTATTGTGGTCGGCGAACTTGCAAGGGAAGTCACGTATCCCTTGGCCTTACATGGGACAAATGCCCTAGTCGTATCTACGTCGATGGATACTAGGGGCATGCCCCGTTTCAATCTCGTGATGCGTGATTGGAGGAACGTCCTTGCCATATTGACAATCTAAGTGGATTAGTCTGGCCGATCAATATGCAACTATAACCATTCATAGAATCAATTTCGTGAAGACTCAATTTGCTGTTAAATAACAGGTTGATAGTAATGTGTCTTGCGTGAATTTCGCATGATCTATGAATATGGTTGTGTCTAGTCAATTGAGACGGTCCACGCGGGAGTTTTCGCGTTCACTCCCTCACCTGATAGGTAGGGCAAATCACGGTGAAGAGCATGTGTTTGTCAACATTAATTGTATGCCAGTTGACCAAACTTTCCTCTAAGAGTTGGTAGAGAGAGAGAGAGAGAGAGAGAGAGTGAAGATGTTGGGGCTCCACTATTTATCAAAATGAGAATATTTTAATATTAGTGTATAGTGAATTAAAACTCAGGGCTACTAGCATGATCAGCTCTGCATCCTTTTGTTGTTCTTTCTCTTCTCAACAATGCCAATTGGCACTTAGGAAATAATGGGGGCTTTTCCATAGATGTAAATTTAAAAAAAATTCCAAATTAATTCTCAATCTTCGATTTATTTACGATTTAATAATTAAGACTTACCAACACTGGAACTCCCTCGTATTTTTATTTCGGCTTTTCTTTTCCCTCCCGCTCCCTTGTCTCTGGAGTTCGTCTTTCGCGAGCGAAGAGGACCTTTAGTTTATTTCTTCTTTTAAATTTACATAGTTCTTAATTTCTTCGCTAATATAATTTTTATCCCGTAATTTCTATCAATGAAGAGATCTGAAATTTTTATTATACAGTCGGCCTTACAAATGTTTTCTATGCTGAATTTGAAAAAAGATCGATGTGGTTGTCCGTTTTATCATTTTCGTCGAGCCTATCTGTCCACATGCAACAAAAGCCTTAAATCGATCAAAATATCAAAATTTAAGATGCTTGATTGAACGGGCATGCGATTGAGCACCGAGTGCAAATTCAGACCCCTTGTTATGTCATTACCTCAGAATTTTTTGAAAATTTTTGTAATTTTCACGAGGAGAAAGATGTGACTTCTATTTGTACGCTTAATTCCTTATTAATTTTTGTTTTTTATCTCGTAAGTGGTTTCCCATCTGGGCTTATGAATGATTTCAATATAAAGAAAAGGTTGGGAAGGACATACAATGTGCCATATCATTCAAGAAAAGGGTCGCATTTGGCATTTGGTGTCACAGTGAGTATACAATGAAGCAATAGTAAAAACCAAAAACTAACCAAATGAACAAGCAAAACTCCAATCCTATACATTACAGCAAATTATGGAAGAATATGCATTTTCTCTCCAAACAAAACTAGAAAATGCCCTCATGTTCATCAGCTTCCACCATATTTTCACATGTTTAAGGGGAAGCGAAGGCAAGAACGAAGAAAACCCATCGATTATGCTGCATAAACAATAACACAGTTGCAAATAAAGGATGCCAGGATGGGTAAAGCAGGGAGGAAAAAGCAATTCTCTTGTGATTTCAATCAACCTTCTTCCAAAACCATGAGATCCTATCTCAAAAATGCATAAATAACAACACAAATGGGTGGCAAGAAAGCAAAACAGATGACAAAAATAGGTCTAAGGCAAGATAAAAATGACATTAATCAAGTTCACTGGGAGACTCCGAGCCACTTCGAGAAGTTCTCGAATTCGGTGTAATCACTGTCTGAGATCATTGTCTGATACCATGCCTTTCCGGCCGATTTGATCGCTGCTGCATCCTCCTGAAAGCACAAGCGAATGACAAAAATAGGAGATGAGTCATGTGTATGAGGCAATTCTTCATTGGAGCAATGACGAAATTCCCCTCGCCCAGACAATATAAAACAGAGCAGGCCAACTACAGAGAATCGCCACAAAAATAGCTTGAGTTTGTTAAGTTTCTTTTTTTTTGGTCAAAAGAGTTTGACAAGTTTAAGTGCAAGAGAAGATGTGAATTGAGCGATACAAGAAAGCTAAACATCGGCCACAAAGTTAGTAGCAGTCGCAGGTGAACAGATGACACCTTGCAAATACAGTACCAAACGCATATCAACTCACAAGAAGCTAAATAAGGGCAATGCACCAAATTAACTTCACGGACAAACAGACATGATAAGCCTATAAAGGCTCCAACTTCAAATTTGCTCAATAGTTACCATATGCAAACAGCACAGAATAGCCCAACATATGATCTCGCCATCGCGGTAACACTTCTTTGAAACAACAGAATGTAGAAAATGAGTTCCAAGCAAAAAAAAGAGCAGTGATCAGGGCATTATATACTTGTAATAGAGATTAGTGCCAAAAATATGAGCATGTAGCACAACTATTCAACTGTGGTGGTAAACCCATCACAGATAGCTCAAAAGCACATCTCATCTCTCTAGTGACTAGTCTAATGTGATATTCCTTCTGATCAATGTTCAACGCCAAACCTTATGAATGAAACTCATCCACAGATCAAAGGTTAAACAGATTTTAGTATCAAATAACATTCAAGGATTTCCACCTAAAGCAAAATTCGATATTTTATAAGTACGAACTCACTAAAAATACGTGAGTCTAAAGACAAGACAACAATCACTATGGGAATTGTCAGAGGCAAATCGCAATTGCGACTCATAAGCTTCCATCAAACAGAGTACCGATGTACAAACTAGGACACATTAAAGTCATGCTAAAATATCATAAATTGCAACATGTACTTTAATTTTAGTAACAAGACCACACAACATGAGGAAAAATCACGATAGCAAGTCAAAAAGAGTATCTATCAATATGTACACAATCATATACATTAAACTAACACTAAACGATCCTGTCTCCATACTAAAGTGATAAAATTGACAGTAATGGCGAAATGTCCAATAGAAGAACAAGCTATAGTAGAATAAAAAGAGTACCTTGGTAACGGGCTTCCTCTTTTTGTCGAGCTTCTCCTTCTTGGCCTTCACACGCTGAGCCTCGGCCAAAAGAGACATCCTCCTAGCAGTCTTAGCATAAGGGTTGAGCCTCAACATGGTGTTCAGGTTCTTCAATGGGTTCTTCTTCAGGGTTGCCCTCTTCACCTCCTTATTGATCGGCCTCACCACAGACTGGACCTCATCAGAGTTGATGATCCTCGATAAATCAGCATTCAACATCTTCGACCTCGGCAACACGTATCCCTTCTTCTTCTCCGAGGTCTTCTCGAACGAACCGTAGATTGAATCGAGCTTCTCGAACGCGGACTTCGTCCAGATGACGAACCGCCCGACGTGCCCACCGGGGGCAAGCTTGAGCAGGTTGAGGCGCTCGACGTTGGCAACCTCGACGCCAGGGATGTTACGGAAGGCCTTTTCGATCTTGGCGCCCTCAGAGCCGTAGACGACGAGGGGGCCCTTGCGGTTGATGTAGCGGCGGTTGCGCATCTTGCCCTTCCCGGGGCGGATGCCCATGCTGTCCTTGGCCTTCTCGGCATCGGGGAAGGCGCCGATCTCCCTGAGGACCTTCTCGGCGGCGGCGGTCTTCTCGACGGCCTCGGCGGCGTCGGAGACGACGAGGGGGAGCTCGGGGACGGACTCGATGCGGTGGCCGCGGGCGAGGACGAGGGAGGGGATGGCGGTGGCGGCAATGGCGGAGGCAACGGCGTAGCGCTTCTGGTTCACGTTGACGCGGCGGTGCCAGCGGCGCCAGGTCTTGGTGGGGGCGAACATGCGGCCGCCGCGGCACATGTTGCCGAAGGCACCCTGGCCGGCGCGGTGGGTGCCGCCTCCGGGGACGCGGGGGATACGGGAGACGGCGCGGCCGGTGCCCCAGGACTCGGCGGAGGTCTGGTGGCCGGCGCGCTTGGAGACGGCGTACGGCTGCCGGCTGTTCTTGGAGATGTTGGAGTGGACGAAGCCGACGATGTCGGGGCGGATCGAGGACCTCATGACGTCCGGCAAGGGGAGGGTGGCGGCGGAGTCGGTGGCCATGTCGCCGTCCAGGGAATGGATGGAGACGAGGGGGCGCGCGGCGGCGGCGGCCATTTTGGCGGCGGCGGCGGCGGCGGAGTGGGGGAGGTGAGAAGGGTTTATGGGATTGGTGGACGCAGGGAGAGATTAGGGTTTCGAGATGGTTCGGTATTTATATGCAGAGACAAGACGAAGAAGATGGACGAATTTACGGGCCTGCCATCGTGTTGTTTTGGGCTGGGCTTCTTCTGGGCTTCCAGATGAGCATTTTTTAGAAGAATGTCAAAGGAGGAACAAAGGCCCAGGCCCAGTATCAAGAGTGGGCCCAGCCCATGGGTATTGGATCGAGAGAGTCAAGATCGTTCCCGGTCCGGAGGTAGCGATTCCTAACACGACTCGATTCGTTCGGTCGTGCCATGGAAGAGAGCCGAGCTTGGCACTCACTCAATCCGTGCACGTATTGCAATCATGCCATGATATGCAGTCCATGGAAATCATGTTATGATGTGGTTCGGTTGGTGCAACCTCGACGTATACAATTTGCTTATTTTAATGACTTGACATATATAAATC